TATATTAGTTGAAACAAATTCTTCCATGCCCCCCCCAAATACTACAAGGACCAGGGCACAGATTCCTTACTCATTCCATGCTGGAGACTCGGAATATGCCGGTTACCACTTTGCACGTGTTGTTTATTGTGTCAGTGATTGACCGCAGCACCGATTCAGCTACACTAGCCTAAAGGGCTCATCTTAAAGTGAAATGATATCAGACTGTACACAGTCCTTACTCCTACAAGGTTTCCAGGCCAAATAGATAAATAAGAAACCTGCACATCAGTTCTGAAAGAAACCCCACTTCCAACAGAGGGCAACAGAAAGTCAGCTTCATAAATAACACAAGACTTCTACCTTAGAAAAGCTAGCAGTTAGCCAGGTCTTAAAGCTAAGAAACATCTTTATTCCAGATAAAAGGGGGATAGATAGCAAAATAAACTTGTAAACAGGACAAAATTGATTTATCTTTATCTTCTGGCTTCCTAGGATCATCAGAGATCTGTTGTAGGTGACTCACAGAGCAGTAGCTTTGTGTCTATGTTTCTGTAGCCCAGGCTAGCCTTGAAATTACTATGCAGCCAAAGATGGCCTTGAACTCCTGATTCTCCAGCTTCCCCTTCCCAGTTGCTAGGCTTGTAGACTTCTATCACCCCAACCGGCCAGTGCAAAAGAATAAAAAGCAATATCATCATCAAGTGGAAATAGGAAGATTCTGGAAGCAGGGAGGTCAGTTTCAGAGATACAATTAATTTCAACCCTATAATACTATCAACCACAGATAACTGCCAGTAAGTTTGAAAAAGCTGTCTGAGACTCAGAGCCATGGAGTATTTGTGTAAATGAGAAGCATGACAGAGAAAACCCCAAAGCATAGAATGGGGGTTGTCTGGGAACTAAAATGTTCAGCAGAAAGAGGAAAATGTGGATTCACAAGTCTACTTGGCCTAAAAGCGTTTGTTTTCCAGAGCATCCCAGCTCTGTAGGGAGAAGAACCAGAAAGCCACCATTTCACCCCAGCCTCTCAAGAAAGCATCCTCCTAACAAAGTATCCAAATGTTCATTTACCATTGATGGTAATGTTCCAAGCACAAGGCCAAACCAAGACAGCGGAGAGAACCAAAACTTCCAAAGTCACAGAGACCTTCATTTGGATAGACCTCCAGCTCAGCACCGCTCAGGAAACAAAGGGGAAGTTGTGGCTGCCCAAGCTCAGCTGTCTTGATTTTTCTACTTGTTTAGGTAGCCTTCAGGTGTGAGGGGCTGTCATCAATGTGTTAAGTACTTAAAAGTCAGGTTCTCCTGATTATTTACACCTGAAAGCTCAAAGAGGCCTACCTGGTAGGTTGATCATGGGTAGTGGATAGTCCCACACCTGTACAGAACAAATTAAACTCAGCAGGGTATAACAAAGAGAGGTCAGAAAGTTGGAGGGGAGCATCGAGAGAGGGGTAGACCTGAGAAAAATTAGGGGGAAGAGTCAGGAGTAAATATTTAAGCACTTTTCAGGAGTTTGGAAACAGGACCTCGTGTATCCCAAGTTAGCCTTGAGCTTCTGACCCTCCTGCCTCCACCTCCCTGGTACTGAGATCGCAGGTGTGCACTGCCATGCCTGACTTAATTTAAGCAATTAAAATCCATATGTGGTCCTTGGAAGTCTGGGACTTCACAGACTCGAATTGAATACTATGATTTCTTCTATATTGAAGCAAGTACAGACGTGTGCACACACTGCTGCCTACTGAGTACCTCTGACAGCATTCCACACTGTTTGAGGCCATCCTTTTATTCTTTATTCCTATATTCTGCTGTAAAGACAGAAAGCTGGTTTAAGACCTGAAATAGTAAAAAGTTTTAAGAAAAATTCAAGATGTCATTGTTCTTGAATTTTGCTTGCAAATGGATGGAATTAGAAAACACTATCCTGAGTGAGGTAAGCCAGACCCAAAAAAGATAAATATGGCAAGTACTCACTCATAAGTGGATACTAGCTATAAACAAAGGACATTGAGCCTATAGTTCATGATTCTAGAGAAGCTAAGTAATAAGATGAACCCAAAGAAACACATATATAGACCCACCTGGAAATTGAAAACAGAGAAGATCACCTGACAAAACTAGAAGCATGGGGGTGGGGGAGAAGGAAGGGTAGAAGGGAAAGAGGGGGAGAGAAGAGGGTGGTTGAGGAGAACTTGAGGGAATGGGATAGTCGAAATGGAGGAAGGACAGAGATAAGAGCAAGGAAAGAGATATCTTGATTGAGGGAGCCATGATAGTGTTAGCAGAATCCTGACTCTAGAGAAATTACCAGGAATCCACAAGGGTGACCCTGTCTAAGACCCTAAGCAATAGAGGAGAGGGAGCCCGATCTTGACTTGCCCTGTAGTCAGACTGGTGATTATCTTAAATATTACCATAGAACCTTTATCCAACAACAGGTGGAAACAGAAAGACCCACATTGCAGCACTGGACTGAGCTCCCAAGGTCCAGTTGAAGAGTGGAAGGAATGAGAATATGAGCAAAGATGTCAAGACCATGAAGGGTTCATTCACTGAAACAATCTACCTGAGCTAATGGGAGCTCACCAACTCCAGCTGGACTGGGAAGGAACAAGCATAAAAACAAACTAGTCCCTCTGAATGTAGTTGACAGTTGCATGGCTGGGGCAGACTGAGGGGCCACTGGTAGTGGCACCGGGATTTATCTCCACTGCATGTACTGGCTTTTGGGGATCCTATTCTCTTTGGATGTATACCTTGCTCAGCCTAGATATAGTAGGGAGGGCCTTGGACCTTCCACAAAGCAATGTGCCTTACCCACTCTTAGGATTAAATGGGGGTGGGGTGGGAGGGTATGTGGGGGGAATGGGAGAAGGGGAAAGAGTAGGAATTTGAATTGGAATTTTAAAAAAAACTAATAAATTTTTAAAATATGGCAAAAAGTATTTAAGCATCAGCCCTTAAGTGCAGTCTTGGAGACACATGCAGAAGGCATTGCAGCAGCACATCAGTGGATAATTATCCTCTCAGTAGCGAGCTGTGTGCAATGGCTTGTAGCACGTAGTTGACCAACCCTTCTGTTCAATAATCTAATGGATTTGTACAGGAAAATGTGCATTTAAATGAGTATTTTAAGACAGGGGCTAGTAGGTAGGGCCCAAGATGGAAATATAACCTAAGTCTATCAGTATAGAGATGCCAATTTGAGTAGCTAGTATGGACGAGCTCACGAGGGGTGCTCACTATAGAGACATAAGATTAGCCACCTAGGGGCTGACCCTTAACCCCAGAAGATGAAGTTTCAATCAGGATGGATCTCCTGAAGATAGAAGCCACTAAGGAAGGGTAGTGTGTTATGGAAGTGGGGGATTCTTATTTTTTTTTCCAATAGAAAATAATTGTGTCTGGCACTACTGCTAAGACTCGAGACTCAGTTTATGGATTTGCCAGTATGGAACTCATAAATTGTGTTAGTTAAGGCTTGACTGAAGTGAGGTCAGGGTGTGGGATCCCATGTAAGAAAGCTGTGAACCATGGATGTTGCAGAGTACAGAACACTCTTCCCACACGGTGGCCTTCCAGAAAGAATTGCACAAACTATGAGAAGTGAATGTGCATGAAAGCTAGTGAGTGCACGCCTTTATTTCCAACATTCAAAATGCAGAGGTAGGAGGATCCTGAGTTCAGGGCTAGCCTGGTCTACATAGTGAATTCCAAAACAGCTAGAATAATAATCTGAGACACAGTCTCAAAGGAAAACAAATGAGCATTCATATTTACTGACTTGGATTTGCTGAGTGTGGTGGTTTGAATAAAAATGACCGTCCAATGTGCTCAACTATGTTCACAGCAGCATTGTTTTTCATAGCCAGAACCTGAAAACAACCTAAATGCCCCTCGAACGAAGAATGGATAAAGAAAATGTGGTACATTTATACAGTGGAGTACTACACAGCAAAAAAAAAATAATAATAATAACGGCATCTTGAATTTTGCAGGCAGATGGATGAAGCTAGAAAACATCATTTTGAGTGAGGTAACCCAGACACAGAAAAGACAAGTATCACATATACTCACTCATAAGTAGTTTTTAAACATACAGCAAAGAAAACCAGCTCACAAAACACAATCCCAGAGAACCTAGACAACAATGAGGACACTAGGAGAGACATACATAGACCTAATCTACATGGGAAGTAGAAAAAGACAAGATCTCCTGAGCAAATTGGGAGCATGGTGACCTTGGGGGAGGGTTGACAGGGAGGAGAGAGGCAGGGAGGGGAGCAGAGAAAAATGTAGAGCTCAATAAAAATCAATAAAATAAAAAATTGACCACTTTTGGGGAAGGGTTAGGCAATATCGCCTTGTTGGTGAAGGTATGTCACAGGGAAGTAGGCTTTTAGGTTTCAGAAGTCCAAACCATTTCAATTGTCCCTATCTCCTCTTCATGCTTGTGGATTAGATGTGAGCTCTCAGCTAGTGCTCAGTGCCTTGCCCACCTGCCTGCTGTCCTGCTCCCCACCATGATGGTCATGGACCCAACTATGCTCTACAAGCATGATATGGTACCCCACAAATTAAATGTTTTCTTTCATTAGTTTCTTTGGTCTCTACGCAAAAAATAGAAAATAACTCAAAGAATAACAAGAAGAATTCTGTTTTCAATTGTCCAAAATCTGCATGGAACCTGTAGCGGCATCCCACTGACTCTTACACGGACCCATTTGCTGTGCTGTAGGATTCTGGAGGGAGCTCAGGTCTGAGCTTTGAAGCAACAGTCCGTGTGCTTTCTTTCTTTCACATTGTTAGTTCTTCTCATTTTCATGTAATTTGGGCCAATTAGAATGAGTTTGGCCCAGCACCCTTAATAATGTATACTCAAAAGCATAGACTTTCATATTACTATGAAACTATCTTTACCAATATACCAGGTGATTTAAAGTTCACAGATGAATTAGAACACCCCCTTCAAGCCCAAATTCAAGCGGAGACACACACTCTTGAGTGTTTCAGATTTTAATGTGGGAGAAGAAGCCATCATGCAGCCTGATTTATGAGTAAGCTCCTGTACAGAAACAGTTTTATTAGAACTTCGGCCTTCAGATGGAAAGTTCTGGTGACAAGTGCCCTTAGAATTAACCCAGTAAAACATTTAAACATGACATTACAGAGCTATGGTCTCCCAAGTCCCAACAGGCATTTAAACAGTTTCACAAATGTCACTACTGGTCTTGAAACAGACAAAATAATGGTGTGACTGAAACCGGGTCCCAGGCTTGCATTGCACTACTTCTGGATCTCAGGGAACAAAGGAATTCTTAACACAGGGACCATTGATCCAGAAGTTCACATGCAGTTGGTCCTGCAGGTTAAGAAGAAAGCACTTAAAATTACTTTCATAGAAAGCCCACCCAGCACCTTTTCCAGAAACCTCAGGTGTTCAACCTGAAGCAGTAGGAAGAGTCTCATCTCTGTCTTTAAATACCATCTCTGACATTACCCAAGTGTATCAAAGATACTTATCTGAAGGTATTACCTGGGGAACACACTGAGAAGGAACAAATCCTTGAAATTTTTAAACTTTGCTGATCTATTGCCCTTCATCTATTATTCTCAAATGCTATATGTAGGTTCTCGGTTGCCTTTCTATAGATGTTAAGAAATCAGAGACCTAGCGTTTGCTGCCCATGGAAACTATTTCTACTTATCATAGGCTCTACTAAAAACAATTTACTGATCGCAAGAAAAATGTAAGGAGCCTTACAGAGTGCAACATACTCATGTTTCTGGACATTTAACCAAGGTACTGTCTGTGACAGAAACAAGTGTCCAAGCCTGAAAGATCTATTATAAAATGCAAGCATGCTGAACAAACAGAGTTCAACTTTACAAAGTTCCTTCAGTGAAATCTTAATTAACAAATTGCCATTAGCCATGAAACCATGGAAAGATTCCTCTTACCTTATGAGAGCTGCTAAAACTAGGCTCACATGCTTTCCTCTGGGAGGAAGCCGATGGCTCCTGTCCTATTATCTGGGTCCCACCACAGAAGGCGCTCACGCTGTACCTATTTAATCCAAAGGGCTCCGTCGAAAATGACTTAGGCCTAACAGAACAAAGAGGAAAAAAACAGAGAATTGATAGTTGTAAGCATAATCTAAGGGAAAATAGATATTTTAGTGATTTCTGTACTACTTTTAAAATGACTGGAGAGAGCCAGGCATGGTGGGGCACACTGAATCCCAGTACTTGGGAAGCAGAGACAGTCAGATATCTGTGAGTTCAAGATCAGTCTGATATAAAAAGCCAAGTTCCCAGACAACCAGGGCTGTTAGACAGAGGAACCCTTTCTCAAAACAATTATCAGCACAATGATTGGAGAGAAAGGTAAGTTAGTTTAATAAATATGAATATAAAGTTTTTAGTAGAATCATAAACTTGACACTTATCCAGATGATACTGATCTAGAATTGATCCTAGAATAAGAGTTTCAAATATCATCTAATGTGACAAATTTTCTCTCTAGAACGGATTATGATACCACATCAGCTACAACTAGCACACAGACACCACACACACACACACAGAGAGAGAGAGAGAGAGAGAGAGAGAGAGAGAGAGAGAGAGAGAGAGAGA